GCGACAAAATCCCAGGGGATCGAAGCAAACCCTGTGCCCCCTACCGGCTGACCCTCCCCGGTCCCTACTGCCGCTGGGGCACGTTAGCTCGCCGCCTCTGCAGGGGTACAGCTCCGCGCTTCTAACGCGCGTTGCCTTCTGGTCTTTCCTCTAGAGCATCTTGCGCAGAACATTTCCAAGTCGCACATGGAAACTTGCCAGTACTTGAGAGAGGAGCTGCAGCAGATAACATGGCAGACTTTCCTGCAGGAAGAGATTGAGAACTACCAGAACAAGGTACGACAGCAGGCCAAACTATGGCATGCTTTTCTTAAGGCATGGTGTTTCCCTAACACGCTGCAAAATTCACTTTTTCACTGCTTGCTGTTTACCACCGGGAATGTAGATTTACGTGTGTTTTCAAAAAAATAATATGCTAGAATCGGAAGCAGCAAGACGGTTAGGATATCCTTTGCACTTGTGATTTTTGCAGGTACAAGGAAAAGGCAGAGCCACACTCCTGCAGTCTGCCTGTCTGTGACTGACAAACAGGGATAAGAAACCAGAGAAATTTTTTCAATCCTAAATGGCACGATATTTTCCGTTCTTAATTTGCAATCTCCTGGATCAAAACCGCCACCAGGAAAAGCTGAAGCCCCCGAGTTTTGTCATTTTACATGGTGTGTTTTGTTTTGAGCTTACAAGCATGAAACTATTGTCAGATTTCCAGCCCGGTTGTGATCCCGAGTCATTCTACAGGTGTCGCTCGGTGTTTCAGTTTTACCTGTGGGACAGCAACGCGCTGCTGCCCAACCCCTGGTGGGAACTATGAGGTTTAATCCATGCTTGCGTTTCCAATATGCCTTCCATCCACAAACTACCACCAAACGGCTCCTTGTGGAAAACTGTCTTGGGAAGCACTATGAAAGCACGCTGTTCTTAGAACCTACTTTTAATTTCCACAAAAAATATTTAACCTTTAATAATACAATTTTTCCCACTCGTTAGGTGACTTCATTCTGAATTATTATCAACTTATGAAAAAAATCACTACTTGCATGCATTCTTTATGTTGTTAACAAGATGATCTTCATATATGTATCTCTGTATATGCATCTTTACTTGAGGACAAGCTAGTTGGGTAATTTACATTCAGTGCAAAATACAGGAGTTGATAGCAAAAGTGTGATTATGCACTGCTAGCTGGCGCTTCCTTCTGATGCAGTGAATAAAATTCCCACTGAAATCACCAAAATCATTATACTTCGACATTTTTGGCCTGTGAAGGAAAACCACTCCAACCTGGATCTCTTCTGACATCACTGAAGAAGCCTTACGTGCTCGTGCTGTCACTCATTGCGTGGGGCTTTGGCTTTGAGGTTAATTCCCCTCGCCTGATAAGCAGACTGTAGCCAGGAGTGCTGGAGAGAATTCACTCCGCTTTTCTTTTCAGCTCAGTTTTACTTTATGCAGATGGGCTTTCCAGACCTTCGTTAGTAATTTTGCAATTTTTCTTCTCTCTCAAACAGCAAAGGGAGGTAATGTGGCAGTTATGCGCAGTCAAAATAACAGAAGCTATACAGTATGTAGTGGAATTTGCCAAACGCATTGATGGCTTTATGGAACTGTGTCAAAACGATCAAATTGTGCTTTTAAAAGCAGGTATGTGGGTCCATTTTAAGGTCTGCTTCTACTAGTTCTGAGGAAGGCGTTCCCTGTACATAGCAACTGCACACACATGTATACCTATGTCGTGCAACGATGATAAAAATACGGGGGAAACCTTACAACTTGTCTGTGTCTTTCTTTGAAGTACGTTACCGCCTTAGTTACCCTGGCTAGGAGTTGAAGTCTACCTATGAAATTTTCATTGGGAACAAAGGGAGCAATGGGTGTGTAAAGGTGGAAAAGTTGGGTTCAAATTTTTTATTTTGGCTGACTAACAGTGAGTAACATATTTCAAGGTAAAAATCCACATTGTTCTATGCAGGGTGCTGTAGAAGTAATGCAGTTTACAAATACTGGACAAAGGTGTCAAAGCTCCATGAACATAAAGCTAACTGAGCCGCTTTGACTTCAGAGACTTTATTGCTCTAAGAAAAATTATTAGAGTTTATTAGCATTAACCAAGTTGCTTTAGCAAAAACTTCTACAGGGGTTTATGGGAATTAATTCTATTAGCAAAGCAAACTGTGCTCTGTTACACCACAGAAATCCACCACCCTACTCGACCGATACTGGGGGCAGAGCACAGGAAATTATTAAATCCTCGCTTGCTCTCTGCAAGTGAAGTCTCTACTTGAACAGTCAAACATACGTTGTTTCTGTTTTAGGGTCTTTAGAGGTTGTGTTCATCAGAATGTGCCGTGCCTTTGACTCCCAGAACAACACAGTCTACTTTGATGGCAAGTATGCTAGCCCAGAGGTTTTCAAGTCCTTAGGTAAGGAAACATCAAGTGTTGTATTTTAAAAAATCAGAATAAAAATAATAAGGTGGAAAAGCAAGGGGACAGTTGCTTTGGGAAATCCAGGTTATAGCATTCAAATAAGAGAGTTCCAAAGCTCAGAGTGCTTATTTTGTAAGCAGTCATGCTAGCTCTGTTTGAGGCCAAGCTGATTTCAGGAGTTAAAACAGCTTAACTCCATGCAGTAAAGGACTGGTCGTGTTGAAATGCAACACTGAGATCAGGGCAAGGCAGTCTGGACACACTTGTTAAGAACACAAGTCCAAATTTCCTATCTGGTGTAATATTTTATATATCCTATTGGAAATGGCAGCAGATTTTCAGCTAATTTTGGATATACTGACGTTACTGCTTTGAAGATGTTCATAGTGTTTTGTAATATGCAAAGTCCAATTATTTGCAGGTAAAATACTGTAAGTAAATTTTTTTTATCAAACCACAGTTTATAATTTTGATTTTTTTTTCCTGTATATTTTTGCTAATTTTAAAAGGATGCATTTCACTGGGTATAGATTTGGGATGTAAGCCATTTTGCAGGGCAGTGAAAATACATCAGCAGAGAATGCTGTACAAATACTGAAGTATTCTCTGCCTTTCTAAAACGCCTCAAGGTACAAGGTCTGAGAGCAAACAGTTCCAAGAATGCAGTATCAGATGTGGGTTCCAATGAAACGTTAACTTCCATCTGTTACCAACCACATCCAGAAATTTAGGCTGGGTTGGGACTGAGGTCTGCAGAGGTGCGTCCTCTTCCATCAGGTTGCAATCCCCTTGAAAGCAGGACTCCACTTCCGCGAGCTGTGTAACAGCATGTGTAACAGCAGCAGTAACCTGACTTACACCTGTGTGAGCAAGAGAATGGATGAAAGGAGACAGAGTTCCTTTTCTGCATGAAAAGCTTTCGGACCTTGGCTTCCCCCTTTGCTCCTGCATGTACCTTGTATGCCTCTCTCCCCTCCCTCTTCTGTGTGCTCAATAGTCTTAAAATCAGCACTTATCAAGTACATGTTTCAAACCTCCAGTCCACAGTGACATGAGAAAGTTCCATTTAGAACAGAAACAAAGCTGAACTGATTTTGAGCTTGAAAATGGCCTGGGTTTTACCTGTGTTTATCCCAAAAGAACCAAATGTGGAAAAGATAGCAGCGTGCAAAATTTTCAAAATACTGGCTGCTAGGGCGTGGGAGCTCGGGACCCATGGAATGGGGTAATAAGCTCAAGCATGGAGTGAGATTTTGCTACTGTCGCTCCACAGTCCTTAAGAATACTGTTCGCCTACACCCATTTTTCACCTCCGTCAGAATAAATCAACAACTCTGTAGCTCTGAAGTAGTTTTGAACCATGTGGCATGAGCTGTACCTTCTTTTTGGCAGGTTGTGAAGACTTCATTAGTTTTGTGTTTGAATTTGGAAAAAGTTTATGTTCTATGCACCTGACAGAAGATGAGATAGCTTTGTTTTCTGCGTTTGTTTTAATGTCAGCAGGTAAGAGATAAAGGTTTGCTCCAGGTTTATTTGGTAGAGGTCATTTTTATTTTGCAGTCTTTTTAATTATAATGTTAAGACTATTGGACAGTGTGAAATGTCATAATCTCTTTTAGTGTCTCCTCCTTGACTGAATTTTTTATTTTAATAAACACATTAAAACTCTGTATTTAGGAATAACTTTGTTAAGTTGGAAATCCTAATCTAAGCCCCCGTTTTCCAAATTTTCAGCTTGTTGAGGACTCGGCTTCTTTGCAAAAGCTTAAATGCATGTGAGTGAGACCACTGGGTAGGTGAGACAGGCAGAAACCAGCCACTGAATTTATGTAGGCAGCTTTCAGTGTGTATGAGCTTGCATCTGTAGCAGAACTATCTCAAGCCTGTGTCAGAATGCTTCCAGTGCCACCTCAGGTCCGTTGAGCAGGGCTGCCATTTTAGTGTGGTACAAAGGTACTAAGGTAGCTCAGGTCTGTCCCCATCGTCAGACTGGGTATGCTGAGAATTATGGTGCCAGACATACAAGTCGCCCCAAGAGTCAGCCTGGGTCTACTGTACCCACAACTAAAATAACTCAATAATCTCAGGTAGATACACACAGTACTCCAGGTTCTGGGAAGGCATATTAGGTCAGGTGAAACAAGATAGCAGTGCAGAAAGTCAGTTCATGTCTGGCTTAACACCCAAGGAAATAAACGCTCTGTTTTTAGCCTGCGGCAAGTGGAGTCAGGAGCAGTGGTGGAAGAGTCTGTTAGCAACAGAGGGTATACCCAGACTATCAAAAATGCTTTTTTGTGCTGTTTGCTGGGTCGGAAGTACGCTAGCCTTGTGTCTTAAGCCCCAGAATCCCGCAGTTCTGCCACGCAGAGGATGTAGCAGCTGATACTACTTTTCTGCGAAGGAGTTTAGGAGCTTTTTTTTAATAGCTGAATGTTTGCTTCTGACTTTTCTGTATGTCACTGTAGATCTTAGCGAGAAGATCCACTCCAGCTACTTGTTCATTATGTGATCTATTCATTTCCCACTAAAAAGTCACTAGCTTTGTTTTGTAAATACCCTGCATTTTACAGACCTTCTTAGCAAATGGTTGATAAACCTTACTCGGATATGCTCCATTCCTCTAATTATGGGCTTTATAAAAGTTATTTTAAATGCTCATAATAAATACACTCCAAAACCTCCAAAATAATCTAATATTTCTATGTAAGAGTATATAAGAAGTGGAAGGAAGGTTGCAAACCAGACAGATGAATCTGTAACAGATGTGGTACTTCCCGGTGCACTGTGATTGACATGTGCAGTACCAGAGGTGTTAACTCCATTTATATTTAGATCGCTCGTGGCTTCAGGAGAAAGTAAAAATTGAAAAACTCCAGCAGAAGATCCAGCTAGCACTTCAGCATGTCCTACAGAAGAACCACCGAGAAGATGGAATTCTAACAAAGGTAAGACTCCTACTGTGCCATGTCACATGATTGTGAAAAGTATGCTTTCTTATGAACAATATCCTAATAGTGGTGTAAAAAGCTTTTACACAGTTTATTTGTTATTTATAAACCCAGAACTCTTTATTCAAAATCAAGGTGCTTAGTTGAAGAGGTGAAATGATGTGCTAGGGAACAAGGTTGATAACGGTCTGAAAAGAGGTATTTTAATGTTGAACTTCATGAAAAGCGGTGAAGGTTTTTCTCCTACACATCATTTCTGCCACACAGAGTGCTACTTCAATTCTACAACATGCATGCCTTAAGCCTCATGAAATCTGCCTGCATGACAATGAAGTTGTTATAACATGCAATACCCAAACTAACCCTGTTTTTCAGTCTTCCATGAGAAGTTCCCCACGCAGCCTTTTTCTCAGCAGTTCTTCCTAATAGTGATGCCTAGGGAAGAGAAAAAAAGATACTGGGTGCTATTATGCTAATCTAAAGTATCTTCACTTAATTTTTCAAAAATGTAAAAGTGGTGTGATGTTAAAAAAAAATAAATATGAAGAACTGGGGAAGGATAGGCACTTCCTTACAGAGGTAGTTCCTGCAGAACTCTGCACAGCCGGAAAGCTTATGTTTAGTTTCACACCACAGAATGAAGGACCTTAGAAGCAGGATGGTCCAGCCCAGGCTCTGCAGATTGTCCTTATTTCAAATCCTAGCTCATATAATTCTTTTCCCAGCATATACTTTGGATACCTTTGTTGGAAGAAAGTTTCTTCCATATGCTTCGATAAAAATAATTTACCCAGTAAGTTCAGGGAACCCCAGTGATATTTTTGAAGTACGGATTTTTCTGGTCTGTTCCTTTTCACCTTATTTGGCATAAATTAAAAAAACGAATCTATTGAATCGGTAGCTGCCTCCGTAACATTCACAGTGGGTTTAAAAGTAGTCAGGACTGCCTTCTTCCAAGAGAATGACTTGAGTTGCATGAATTAAAATCTAGCCATGAAATAATTCTGTATCAGTCCAGTGCTTGGTAGGCAAGTGAGGAAACTCAATGAACCTCCCAAGAACTTGCAGAAAAGATTATTTCACAAATAGCATTAATCCATTACTTAAATAGCTTTTTAGTGGCAGCAGCTTTTTTCTTCTTCTTTTTTTAATCTAACATAACAAACACCCCTGACTACGCATCTGAAATGTCATTGTTAAGGTAAACAATTTACGTGAACTCAAAGTGTTTGACAGCAAGATGGGGAGGCCTGGTTCCATATATGACCGTATGACTTCTGTTCATTTTTTTTACAGTTAATATGCAAAGTGTCTACTTTAAGAGCACTGTGTGGACGACATACAGAAAAGCTTATGGCATTTAAAGCAATATACCCAGACATTGTACGACTTCATTTTCCTCCACTTTACAAGGAGTTGTTCACTTCAGAATTTGAGCCAGCAATGCAAATTGATGGGTAAACGTATCACCTAAGCACTTCTAGAATGTCTGAAGTACAAACATTAAAACAAAAGAAAGGAAAAGAAAAAAAAAAAAAAAAAAAAAAAAAAAAGAAAGAAAACCAAGACACTTTATATGGCCCTGCACAGACCTAGGGAGCCAACACACTGCACATCTCTTGGCGGTCGGGGTCAGGCGAAGGATGGGAAACAATGAAACAAAGTTGAACTTGTTTTTCTCATGCATATGATTTCCATTATGCCTACAAATATGGACCCTTTTTCTGTCTCAACTTCTCAATCCTTGACCTCTGTTTACACAGACTGAGGGTACTAATGTCAGAAGGTTGTTTTCTCTTGTAGTTCACTGCCCAGACTTTTGACAGAACAATCAATTTGTTGATCAGAACAGAGAGTCCACCTAGTAATCAGCGACTGGTGTGCATTGCAGAGATTTCAGCATCAGTTTGCACAACTTGCTCATTGTTTCATGAAGGACGATTTTTTTCACCTACCACTGTTTGCCAGTAGACAGAATGGCATGAAAAGGGTCCATAGCAATAGCAACAATAGCATTATAATATATTACAGGGTAAATGGGCATGAAGACTATATATAGCAAAAGAGATATTGTTTATATATTGTTTTAATTAATATAAAATGTAGTTACTGGTATAGCTTTTCTTGTTGAATTGATAAGGCACTTTCATTTTGCACCTTTTTCTTTAAATTAAATGCTAGCGTGTTCATTGTTGTGTTGCATGTGCACCAGAAATTCAAGTTTAACTGAAAAAAGGTTTGGCAGGTACTGGTACATTGGGAGGTATTTATGCTGCTGTTTTCCATGTTACTTTTAAAGAGAGGCTGGTCATATCCTGAAATGGTTACACAGATTTTTTTTAAAGAGTTGAAAATAATGACAATTTTCTAAATTAAAATCAGCTTTTCAGCTGTTAATTTCAAAGGTACTTTTATTTTCAAATCTTTCAAGCCTGGATGTTTAAAATTACATGCCTAAATTCAGATTTAGGTGCACAAGTCAAAAGCCTCGTTTTCAAAGGTGCTGAGTTTCCATGGTCAAAGTTAAACTAAGCAATTACGGATCATTTACAAATGAGTACCACAGCATCCTTGAAAATCAGGCTATTAAGTAAAGTCTATTTCTGCCCACCATAAATCCAGGTTTGAAGGAATTTACTCAAGTCTGTACCTACAGTAAAAGTATGTGTGTATGACATGTATGTGGAAAAGTAATTTTTATACATAATATTACATACTTTTGTACTCCATATCGTAAACAATGCCTTCAAACTCCAAACTCTATCCTATCACAATCCATAGGAGGTGGTTTGTCTTTGACTTCAGTGAGATGAGACACATGTTCTTCCACCATCCAGCAGTCCAATTTCAGGTAGCCGAACAGAGAAGGCTGTTGCTCTCCTTATTTAAATAAGATGCACTTTAAAGTTTAATCAGATGAGGACAGACTAACAAAGTAAAGGCACACTGTTGTTAGAAAGCATCGCTTTGTACTCTGTATAATGCCTGGAAATCATTAAGGTCATAGATCTGCATTCTGTAATTCTAAAATTGTTATTCCCGTATTGCATAACCAACCAATAAGCCAAATGTTGCAGTCTTTATTAGTTACAATTCCCTGTAGGAAGAATACTGTCTCTGAGCAAATTTGGCAAGTAAACCTAGTTCTGAAGGAAGCAGATTGACAATAAACAACATCACAAAATAAACCGTGGCTGTTTGAGCCAGAGGTGCATAATTGGTTTGGATGAGATGAGGAAGTGTAACTGCATGCCTTGTAGGTCTACACAAATGAAATTTCTGATGAAGTACGTAAGAAAAAGCCAGGAACTTTAAAAAAGAAACGGGAATGAGACAGAATGTGCCCCACTGCTTTACTATCCAAGGATAAACAATCTCTTACATACACACAGTCATGGAGAAGTAACAGAAGTGCACAGAAGCACACTGAAGCCTATTTTAAAAAGGAGAATTAGGTCAGTGGCTTATTATCAGCAAAACAGAGGTTTATTCTGCAATTTGAACGTGTTTCCTTTGGGCTCAAATTGAGACATTTAGCTGTGACACCTACTACAAATGTCATAGTCTGCCACATCAGGGAAGCTTACAGCTGTCACTCATCTCTGTGGTTTGAAAGAAGGGGCAGATGAGCATCACACGTTTCCCCTTCAGAGCAGTGGCCCTGGAGTCCAGGACGGGAACACCTGCACCTCCGTGAGCACTGGGAGGGAGGCGTGAGAGGGCTTCTGGAAAAAGTCCACAGAGCGTCCTCGCACTGCGCCATCCTGCCTGCTGCCAAAGAGGCGGCTCACAGCCCAGCACGTGCTCTCTCCACTCTCACTGAAACACTTCTCCTAGAATCATTGTTTACTTTATTGGAGTAACTGGCATGATATGGTACTTTCATTATAATGTGTGTTCCTATTTTTAAAGCAACCCTTTTAACTAACAAATGTTTTCTGAATGTGACCAGCCTTAGGTGCTAGTCCTGTAAAGACCAACTAAACTTAATTTCAGTGTCAACTAATGAATAACGAAGGCCTGTACTTTTTTAGAGACCGAGATGCAACTCCTACTTCTGACAATAAGTAGACTGCCAGGCAAAATATTTGGGGATTAATTTTCAGTCATGTCCTCTTCTTACCTTTTCCTGATGAGTACTAGTACTCTCCTAGGCATCTAGGTGCCAGTGGTTTTGTGTGGTATCTAGTTGAGCATATTTACACCCACAAGTCATCAACAACAGATTTTTTGGAGCATCTACTAATAAAACACATAACCGTAAAAAGATTCCACATAGGGCCTTAGCTGAAAGCCCTTTGCATCTGCAAACAGCTTGTGATGTGATCTTCCAGGCCAGAAAGTGCTGTCACTTTTGTCCATGGGAGCTCCTGTGTACTGGCATCTTGTTAAATCAGGCTGTGCACACACACCCCAAGTGACTCTGCTTTCCTGATAGCAGCTAACAGCCACTTGGCAATAGAGTATTATGTTTGTTTTGCTCTTCATAGACAGGAGGAAAAAAAGTAATAGAGCATGGCAAATGTACTGATAAGAGTTCTGTTGCCGAGGAGGCTTTTATGAAAGGGGCCATAGAACAACATCAGAGCGATGGCCATGTAAGAACCCAACGTGGCAGAGGAAGTCTCTGCAGAACCTCTGGGGCTATGGCCTGGTGTCAGATGATCAACCAAATACTCAGTTAAAAAATGTATTTGGGGTCAATGGATGGTCACTTGAGTATTTTCATAACCTGCCTGGTTCACTACAAACAGAAACATGAGGATAGCTGAAGATAAAGGAATAACATATTGGTGTTGAATGATCTGTTGCCTAAAGTCTGCAAAGAGATTTTCATTGGGTGTTACATCTGGCCAGAGATGTCTTCTGGCTTTCTAGGAAGGAGATAACTGTACTACACTGTCATTGAAACCACCCTGATACACATGAACATCTCCAACGTTGTTTGACGTCTTAAAAACAATGGGATTAGGTGAAAAGGGAGGCTGTTTTTAAGTTTGGTTGTTCTTTATTAAAGCTTATCTATCTTAGTACGAATACCAAGATGTCTGTGTGTGTATGTGCACCTGTGCGTGTGAGAGGGTACGTTTGTGTGCACACATGAATACATGCGTGGGTACGTGTGAGTGGCTGCTTCTAGGCTGTTAAGTGTCAATGGAATAAAGAAAATGTATTGAAAATACTTAAGTCAAAAATAGAAGGTGGAAAAAAAGATTTATTCTATACAAAGCCTTGTCTGGACCACTTTAGAGAGACTTCTATTTTTTTAACCCTTCTATAAATGTTTGATGGCACTTGAAATATTCCTGCAATAAAATGTGATTTGTGTAAACATTAAAAAAAAAAAAAGATTTTGTAATGTGAAACAATGAAAGAAAGTAATGTAATTTTTCTAAAAAACAAAAAAAACCAAACGAACGAACTTTGTATTATTTTCTTGATGGAATCTGTCTATTTGTCTTTGGAAAACTTTTTATTTCATTGAATGTGCCATAGTAGAGGTGTGTTTTTCTTTTTCTTTCTTTTTTTTTTTTTTTTTTTTTTACATTTTAGATTAAAGGAATAGCTGTGTTCCGACATTCCAAAATGCAAGATGACATAGCAATCATGATTAAAAGGTTTTATTAGTAAGCTTCAATCATTGTTGCTTTTTTTGCACATGTTCTTCATTCCTCTACAGTGCAATATGTACATAGAGCACTTGCGGGTGTAACCTTGATCCCTCAGGGAAAAATACATATTTGTACAGGATTTTTCTTTTTTTTCCCTTTTTTTTTCTTTTTTTTTTATTTTGTTTTGGTTTTGGTTTTGCTAAGGAATGTCGATTGAATCACTTGTCTGTTGTTGAGGGGCAGCCAGATAATAATCCTAAACCACTGTCACAAAACATTGATTGTTTAAATTTTGTGCCCTTTTATTATTTAAAACAGAAAAATAAAAGTTATTTTATGACAGTTCTTTGTGCTGATTGGTGGAAAAAAAGGGTAAATAGATAAGCACCTTACGATTGACTTAACTGTGAATGACAATCCATCTCGTTATCAACAACAGAAGCCCTATCATTTTGGAGCTGGGGTTAAGAGTCGGAAACTAATGTGCTCAGGGATCTTCTAAAACGCTTCAACAGGGTGGCCAGTACTACTGGTGGAACAAATTACTTTTAAAAAAAAATATGCTAGTATTTCTTCCCTTCCCCCTCCTCCCAGGCACAAGAGAACTGGATATTATTTTTAACTAAATGCTCTATGCGTGCCTCATTCTCTTACTTGGTTTTGCAGTATAGCTGCTCTTCGATCTTTATTTTGTTCAGAACAAAAGTACTCCGAACAGTGCAAAGGTTTTGCAATTATATTTTAGAAAAAAGATTAATGCTGACCCATTAAATAAATGATTGAAATTAATTTCAATACCCTCTGGACATTTTTATAACGATAGGACTATTTTTCCAGCTGAATTTCAGTGTTTTGCAATAGAAAATGGGTTTTTAGTATTTAAACTATTGTCAAAGAAAACAGATCGGTTTATGATAGTACAGTAAGAATGAAAAGGGTAATGATCAGGTTTCGGCAATGAAGTCACATAGAAAGGAACATAGATCTGCAGGCATACAAGAACAACAATTCAGACCTTGTCTGTCATTGTTGGTAAACAATGGTAAAGCAAAAAAACTGACTGGAAAGAAGCACTGAGGCTGAAGGCATTTTCATATCTAGTACAACAAATACAGCAGTGCCAAATTGTAGGATTCTGGAAGCCTGTCCCAATTAGCCTTGGTTTATGGCTTCACATTGTTTTGAAAATGAAACTAAATAAGCAACTATAAACAAAATCAGCAAGATTTCAAGACTTTGGTTAGACTGGGAAGAGACTGAATTTCTCCGTCAAACATGTCTGTCTGCTTGCAAAAAGCATCAGTTCTCCAGTATCTTAGGTTATGGAGGGTTTTTTCACTGGGTAGATGGCTTCCAGCCTTTAGGTTTGTTTTAGGTTGCTTAATAAGTAGGGAAACCTTTCTTACAGTTTTACAAGCTGATGGT